TTTTCTATTCATTTTAAAAAAATTTCTTTAGTTTCATTACTAGTCTCTGATACCAATTATAGGGTGAAAATGCGAAAAATAGTTAAAACTTAGAAGTAAGGGTATAATAGACAATACATCTATAAGAAGACAAAATTATGTCAAAAGTAATGTAATGGGGAATGTACAAATAGCTTAATACCAAAATATATCATCTCAAGTTGTAATATCTTTAGGAGATTCTTACATATTCGTCCATTTTCTTTGTTTAATTTTCTTTTTAAACATCTTGGGTCTATTTCTTAGAAAATGCAGGTTTGTTGGGAACATTAACATAACCACTTGCATTAAAGTTTTTGAGGAGTTCGAACTTGTTCTTTCCTCTTGGATTGAAGTTTTTGGTTAACAATAGTTTATAATTGTTGTTTGATTAATTATGAATTTTTAGTTTGTTTTAAAGTATGTTTATTGTCTCGTATTATTCACAGTGATGCCAAGGTTATCTGGGATCAAAAGGAGGTTTGGATTTGTCTCAGTTCAGAATCAGCTGGTATGTTTCCTTGCCTTTCATTTGTCTTTGTTTTGTATACTCTGACCGACTTCTACTCAAATTCAATTCTTTGATTTCTGTTCAGGATCTGCAAAATAGAAAACGATTAGCGAAATTGAAATTTTAATTTGAGGAGGATTGGACCTCCAAAGGTTTTTTTTTCCCCCAAAACAAACAATAGTTTGCAAAATGTTTCATTCGTATGGATTCATCGACGGCTTAAAGCTTAAATACAAAATAATGCAAGCACTTTCATCTAAACCTAAGGAGCACTAATTTGCTCACGTTTATTTACAGGCTGTGATGTCAATCCTTTCCGCCACCCAAAGCCGCCGCGAAAAACTTTTCTCCTCCGGCATCGAAGGCGTCCCTGACCCGCCTCTTCAGATCCTCCTCACACGTTTCTCTCATCCAGAGGTCTCTATTTACAGCTCCCGCTTCCACACCATTGGAATCTGCACCGATTAGGTCCCAACCCTACTCTTCTTCACGCGTGGATTCCAAGGACAGGAATATCCAGTGGGTTTTTTTGGGATGCCCTGGCGTTGGAAAAGGTACCTATGTCAGCCGCTTCTCTACCCTCCTTGGCGTCCCCTACATCGCCACCGGCGATCTCGTCCGCGAAGAACTGTCCTCCCCCACCCCTCTCTCAAAACAACTCAAAGAGATTGCGAACCAAGGGATGTTGGTCTCAGATGAGATAATAATAAGCTTATTGTCAAAGAGGCTTGAGGCTGGAGAAGCCAATGGTGAATCAGGATTTATACTTGATGGTTTTCCTCGAACAGTGACACAAGCAGAAATATTGGACGACGTGACTGACAGACATTGACCTCGTGGTAAATCTCAAGCTCCCAGAAAATGTACTGCTTGAAAAGTGCCTTGGACGAAGGATATGTGACCAATGTGGGAAGAATTTTAATGTGGCATCTATTAATGTCAATGGTAAAATGGGAATCCTGATATAAAGATGGCCCCACTTCTTCCTCCTCCCCATTGCGCTTTGAAGCTTAGAATTCGTTCTGATGATACTGAAGCTATTGTAAAAGAGAGACTTCGTATATACAATGACAAGAGTAAGCCAGTGGAGGAACTTTACCGTGCTCAAGGAAAGTTACTTGAATTTGATTTGCCTGGAGGTATTCCGGAGTCCTGGCCAAGGTTGCTGGAGGCACTTGATGATTATGATGACAGACGGTCTGCAGCAGCATAAATTTCTATACATTGCATTTTCCCGCTTAAAATTTTTGCAGAGAAGACGATTTTTCCTTTCATAAATTTCTCTATCCGAGAAAAATATCATATAACAACGAAGTTCACTGAGCTGTTAATCCTATGGCGGTCTTGTGCGCTTCTCTCGTATTCTTTAGAATAATTTTGATGTAACGCAATGCCGTTATGGAGAGGATTGGCTTTTAAGCTGTCATTTGTAATAATTCAAGGGATATTTTCAAGAATATCCAATTTTATGAGTGTCAAATGAAAAATGTCATTTTCTTATAATTNATATTTTCAAGAATATCCAATTTTATGAGTGTCAAATGAAAAATGTCATTTTCTTATAATTCTTGCAAAAATGGCCAAATTTGATACCAAATTATCTATTTTATCCTTAATGAAATGATTATTGCATTTGTATTTTTTTTTCCCAATTTGACACATATTTCAAGAAGAGCAAGTGGCTTCCATGAGAAGCCACTAGACTTGTAGCTATTATCAAGTGGCTTCCATGAGAAGCCACCATACTTGTAATGAATCCCGTAATGTCATTCTCGACATTTTATAAACGTCGAGAATGATAGTTTAAATGTAATTCTAGAATTTTAAAATGTCGAGAATAACATTAAACACTAAACAAATTTAGGGAACATTTTGGGTATAGCATCTTCGTTTTGGTAACAAGTACGAAAGATTCCATAAATGACTCGTTTTCATAAGTTACTAGACATACAAAATAGTAATCACAACAAAATCATGTCATAACTGTCTGCATGTTGTAGGTGAATACATATACAAAATGGAGATCACCACAAAAAACTACCCATTACCCATATGAATTTTATGTTACTACATATACTTAAACATTTCACATGCGACGATATACAAAATGATGATCACCACAAAACATATCCGTCATCAGTCGAAATTTTAGAAGTCCGTACATATACTTTTATTTCATTTACGATGATCGCATTTTCTACATATCCTCCACAACAGACAAAGATGACATATCACTGCCATCCTCATCGTCAGAGCTTATGATGATCACATCTTCATTTCCAGCGGGATTTGCTTCAACATTGTCGTCCAATAAGACATTGTGTGCTTCAGGTGGGAGGTTCTCACGATCAATGATACGCTCACCAACTTCAACTTCAATCGACTCATCCTCGTCGATCAAATCCGAAAAAGGAATTGGATGGAGGTAAATCCTACGGGAGTGGTTCCCCAGTTGAGGGACATATGGAACGAAGACATTGATTTCGTTATCGTCATCCGAGTCTATGACGATGGGGTTGTCCGTGGACGACCCGATGGGGGATAAGGTAACAAGAACATCAATATGAGGAATTTGTGTTGTTGGCGAAGACATAATGGATGGAAGAACAAATGTAACGCTAGTAAGTTGTTGAGAAAAATCAGGTGTGCAATTTGAAGCCAAGGCCATTCTTTTATAGTGGACTATTGGACGTTATTCAATGCATTAAAAGTGTTCAGACCAACTCAACCAGTTTGTATTTATGCCTAATTGATGCTTTATCACATCACATAGTGTACGACGTGGACTAGTGGTTGGAGTCATAAAAGAACCATTAAGAATGAACCTAATGAATTCATGATCAGTGGAATAATCTTACACATTTTCAAACCTTTTGCGTGCAACTAACGGGAATATGTAACTTACATCGTTCACGAGATCTGGTAAGTTGTTATCGATATTTGCATTCAGACAATCTCGACACCTAAGCATTTCTATTTGTCTACAACGACATTTGGACGAAAATAGAAAAATTCTCTACATTTCATGCATTTATAGACATTTGAAGTGTCATTCTCGACATTGAGCACCCGTGAATCTCGACGGTAGACATTTGAAATGTCTCGAACAACATTTGGATGAAAAAATGAGAATTTGCTAGTAATCTTCACTCACATAATGAAAAAACATAACATGCTATTAAAATGTAAATCATAAACGTACATAGACTTAAAGTTCAAATCCAATCACCATCCTTTACAGTAAAAGTTAACGAAATCATGGCAACGGTTAAATACTCGAACCACATGGATACCACTTATACAATCACCATTATGTTCCATCAACCAAAATACTAGACCGGATATTGTACACATACTACGCATTCCGCTTACCTCTCTTGCGATCAGAACGGGTGAACGGTGTCTTCGTGTTTGCACTAGACAACATTGTGTACCCAATTTCTGTAGCAACTTCATGAAATATACGTTGGTTTAAATTTATCTGATCAGTCACATGCTTCCTCAAATCGCGGACATGACTTCCCAATTCATTTTGGATACTAGTGAATCTCACGTTCATTTCATTTCTTAACTCACCCAACCTGCTCTCAAATGCCTCTCGTTTTTCATTCAAAAGAGCTCTTATTTCATCTACTGACGCAGGCTTTACGTCACCATGCTCTTCTTCTCCACCTTCTGCTCGATGCAAATTTCTCAGCCAAGTCCACGTATGTTCCCTCTCCGAAATTTATTTCCTCTATTGATATTCTCGTTGTTCCCTATAACTTCATTGCCATTTGGACAATCTGTGAAATATTATATAATGTGAAAGTGTAAGTGCAAATATGTATGTAAATTGCTCACATGTGTCTTCTCAAAGAAATCTGAATACGTTGTTGAGTGAGGTGTTCTCGTGCCAGACCACCGCATTATCCTAGGAACGTCGTCACCAATTTTAGTAGAGAATCGCGTTCCCAACTCTGGGATTGCCTCGTACACCGACAACTGCATGACATTTATAAAAGTGATCAATCATATACGGTGGTATGTAACAACATGCGATGAAAAGAAATAAAATGAATACAGACACATGTATACCTGAAAGGCAAGAGGGAATCCATACAATGTGTAAGTCATCTTGTCACTATCGTTAACTTTTACCAAGTCCGCCTTTCTTCCCCATCCACGTAGTAGTGATTTCATTAGAAGTTGAAAGCATACTATCCCCCATGGGTAGGCGTTGAAGAAATCCAAGTCGTCAACGATGGAGAGAGAATCAGGATGTATCCCTACATTTCTGTCTCTTGAATTGAATACACATTCCGGTTGGCACATTTCAAGAAAACTTTCTCCAGGTTGCTACAAGTTACCCGATTTCTATTAGTGAACATTTTGTCCCATAGCCGGGTTTTTTCTAGGATTTTGTCGACTTCAGTACCTATAGGCACCGGATTGCACTTCAGGCCGGTGATTAATGCAAGCTCCTGCAATATAATTCGTGCTAACCTTTGGTTCACCTTGAACCAAGCCTCAAAACGTTTTCGGCAAACCACCGATCTATTTATCATTTCGTGAATTAATTGACCGGATAGTTTGAGCTCTGGTAACTTCGAAACATGTCCTATACAACTCTCCCCAAACATACTCTTATGTTGTGAATCGAATTTGTTGATGACAACTGTTATGTATTTGGTATTGCTAACTTGTGAGATGTGGGCCGAGACACGTTCTTCCTTCTGAATTTTATGTCGGTGTGACGACGTCATCTACAAATGATAAAGACGCACATAAAAGAAATACTATGAGAACGTACGAACAAAATGAAATAACCTAAGAAAAGTTTAAAAAAAAAAAACCAATTAATCATTCAAAGTGCTTGCTATGTAATCAAATAGGTACCCATTAAGCATAGAGTACAGATTGAAAATAAAACAATAAATTCAAATTGTGTCTCAAAATAAGACAATAATTCCATGAGAAAATAAATATGCATAATATGATGTTTCAAAATTAAGAACAACATGCTAATAGGAGTCAAATGCATCTGTATAATTTGGAAGTTGTTCCGTTTATTTTCTTGATTCTTCTTGTTATCATTAACTTGTAACTAAATCTTGAATCTGATTATAAACAAAATCTGGACTGAAAATAAGCTAAATTTCATGTACATTTGACATTTTAAAGAATGAATTGAACTTATTTTTCTTTTGACCTCTTATTTGTCTAAAATAATTATTTGTTCATCAATAATCATATAATTCAAATGTATTTTAATCAGTGATGAAATTAGATTCAGATAAATCTTTTGGCAGTTTTCATAGATCGAAATTATATTTCCTGTTGATCTTCATGATATCAATTAATTTCTCGGTTTACAAGTGTGTCAAAGACAAAATTCATTAATTAATTAAAAATTGTTTTTGCATACTTTTAGGGTGAGTAATGGTAGCCACTTAATTGATTAGAAGAATTTCATTAATTTCAAGTCACCATGCCCTTAATTATCATGAGTTGGCTACACTTCCATTTGTTGGTGTATATTCTCATTTCTTTATTCTCCATTTTAGTATGACTAGACATGTATCTTAGCATCCTCTTATCTCAAGTCTAATACCTTCATCGTATCGACATCAGATTCTGAGAAATCCAGAATTAATAAGAATGGGCTACCTGAGCCAAATCTTGTTGATGTAGCATCGTATAGCAAACACT